GCTTATTTCGACACTTTTTCCAATAAAATCCATTGGCTTTGAGTAAAATTCTTAAAGTTTCACGACAATATGGAAAATTATTTTCTTGTTGCAGCTTTATCAATAATTTCCTTGTTGTTGGGACCACCTTTTCTTCTAAGTAAAACCATTCAATGGTTCTGCGTGTGACCCCAAAATCAAAATCATCGTATTTTTCTCGAATCGTGAGGCGAGGTCGTTTTTTTTTCGGAGAAGCGAGTCTACTCTCAGGCTTAGTGTGCAACCTCTCCTCATCTTCCTTATGGATTTTTGCAACTGTGGTTTTACTTACCAACTCCAGTGTACATAACAGTACGTTCTAATTTAGATTTGAGAGGTAATTTGAACACATTATTGGTCGCTTCTTCATTGCACACTCTATATACATTTGCAATTATTTCTTTTGCTTGACTATGCAAAGGTTTTCCGCGAAGGTGTACATTCATTTTTAGAGAGAAATATAAAAAAGTAAGGCCAGAGATAAATACTCTATAAACTGAGTTTGGCGCAAACTGAAAATACCAGAAATGTCATCAATAGAAATTGCAAAGAAAACCAAAATAAAGTTTAAACTCCGTTCCGAAAACTCTAAGGGCGGGTATTATGAAACTATATTGACAAACAATTAGAAGTTAACTTATTCCAGAAGTTAATTTTCAGTTATTTGTCAAAGTAGTTTTATAATACCTACCCGCCCTAAATAAATGAATCAATAAAATTAAAGAAAAAACTCTTCAGCTTTACCAATAACCACACCACTGTACCGTCGATGAACGTCTAACCAATAGAATCATGCCTCTGAATGACAAACGTCACTCCACAGCCATCATTTCGCAATGTTGCCGAATTGTCGCTACATTCTTTTTTTTTGCGGTAGCTCCTGATTGCCGACTATCGTTTTCAATATTGTGGTGATTACATATTGATATGATGTTTATGCTTACATGACAATTATTCAAATTTACTACAATTTACTAGTATTTTTTTATATTTCAAAATACTGCACACAACCATAATGCAAAAAAAATATGCAAGCAACTTCTTTATTATTATTTCCGTTACGTTTGGCAAAGCAGCAAATACTTTTGCAGTTCGCCGTTTCGCTAGCCAGACTATACATTAAAGCATGTATAAGGGATGTAATAACTGTATTTGTAAACTCTTTAGGTATTTGACCTATCTAGCTATAATATATATTTTTTCTAGTACAATTTAGTGTTTATTTTTCCCTTTTTTTTAATCTACATCAAAAAATGGCACCAAACTTTATGGAGTAGGTACCACATCATTTTTCTCATTCGGATTTGAGAAAAAAAGATGTGGAACAACATAAGTAAGTTTTTTGTGCAATCAACTCAAGTCAAATTTCAAAATTCCCGCCATTTCAGTATTTGTTCCGGCTGCCACTATTGACGCCACCGTCGCTGTGACGTCAGCGCTATACAAACTTTCATGTTATCAATCAGGTACTCTTACCTTGGTTTATTATATTTCTTCTACCTATAGAATCCGCTATAATTTGAAAGTTTTTGGGGAATCCCAGAGTTCGGTTTCGTTATTTGTTGGTAGTGCAGAAAAATTGTTTTGAAAGCTCAAAATAAACGTTTTTAGGCGTGGCACCCGGTAAAAAGTTTTCGTCTCCGGCGGCCCTGGCTTGGACTAATTACCCCCCCCCCCCCCAGACGTATGGGCTAGATACGCCGGTGCCATCTCTATTCTTTGATAATAATCGGAACATAAGGCATTTAACGACATTAAGTACCAGGCATAATTATTTTGATAATGATGTGATATTTCCATGGCCTAAAATGCGTGCAGAAAAAAGCACTTTTCGCACGCTCGTAGAAAAAAAAATAGAAAAATATATATGTAGACGTTTTTAGGCGTGGCATCCGGAAAAAAAAATTCGCCTCCGCCGGCGCCTACGGCGAGCTTCCTCCTCCCCCTATAAACAAATTTATAAAAATATTATCCTGTGCCTATGACGACTTTCAAAAATCGGCGCCTCTGCCAGGCCCACCCTAGGCCCCCCCAGGTCAGATGGCTAGTTACGCCAGTGTACACGCATAAAACGTCAAATTGTCAACGTAATGTCAAAAAAATGCGAATTTCGCAGTTATGAGTACTAGGCTTAATTAAGGTAGTGACATCAATAATAGTACCTACATTATACACCTAGGGACTGAAGTGGTACTTTTTTTAATCCCGAGACAAAAAGTTTATATTTTTTGTCAAGCAAGGATTAAAAAACACTTTAGTCCTGAGCAGGGATGTGCGTCTACACGTAGACTTTCATTGTCTACTTTACGTGTAGATAATGTAGACAATGTAGACAATGTAGACAACGTGTCAACAATGTAAAATAATATAAATGACGTTTAATTCTAACCTCACACTTTCCTTTTTTTAAATTATTTTTATTTTATTATTGGTTTTCCTGATATTTTATAATCAGTGAATGCTAATATCGAAGTGATAGTGATAGTATAGTAGCTTTTGATATTTTTTTTTCGAATTTTTTGAAGTAAGTTATTGTCTACGCCGCATGTAGACAATGTGTAGACAAATGCTCACGTAAACAATTCGAATTGACTACGCGTAGACAATCAATTGTTTACGTTGACATTGTCTACAGGCACATCACTGGTCCTGAGGTGTATATACACCATTTTATGCTCGCTACCTACTTTATTTCCCGGGAATTAAATAAAACAGAAAATAAGAGGGTACTTTGATTCCGTTTCATTTAATCCTCGGGAAATAAAGCGAAATTTAATCCCGGGGATTGACAGACCCACTTTACTTCTTTAAAACAGGGATTAAAAGGGTACTTTTAATCCCTGAAGTGCATAAACAATTTGAATCATAACAATAGACCTATCTATTTTACCAGACAAAGAGGTAATAATACGAAAACTCCATTAGATAAATAAAGACACAGAACGCTCATTGCGCAAGACGAGGCAAAACATACCAAATTATGTTAGACTTACGTATAGCAATCCGTTGTTCTTATTTGCACGGGATAAAAAGGGAAGGAGAAAGTCCGCGTGTTGTGCAACGTATTTCAAAATGAAAATTTCGAACAACTTTTGAATGTCACTTGTCAAGCTATGTCAAGTTGAATATCAACCGTACTTTTATTCTTGTCAGACCATGAGCAATGAACAAGGACAAGGAGATGCCTAGCATGCAAAACGAACACCTCACACCTGTACTAGTTAGCCAATGAAAAAGCATTGCCTCGTGTTGCGCGCGCATACCAGGTAAAAATAGATGTCTGCCCAGCGAGTCTGTGTCTACGGGGAACGGTAAGGGGAATGCAGTTGTAAAAAAAAATGGCTGATTTCATTCATAAAATACCCAGCTGCGTGCGGAACTTTTTGGAAGTGTTATCGTATCACAACTCGTACACGAAAATCAACAATGACCAAACCCCCGCCACTGGATATTTCAATATAAATCGATATTCCAAGATGGGAGGATAAAATGACAGAAGCCCTGGCCAATAGCGAGACGTAAGGTGACGTTAGCCCATTGACAACCGCATGGTTCCTCCTGGCAACGGCCATCCTGCCAAAAAGTCCACCAATCAGGTACATCCAGGCCGGATGCTTGTCAAATTGTCAAAAGCTGATGGTATCTTTAGAAAATGTTTATTTTTTACAATGGACAAAATTGGAGAAATCAGTTATTAAAATAAGAATAAATCTAACAACCACGTTGAAATATTTAGTAATTTATTGGTTTCTATTAGAGGTGGGAACCTATCGATAGTGATTATCTCAGCATGCCTGACTCTAGTTGTCCTAACATAATGCTATCTGACCATGTCCGTCATGTTTTTTATCAAATAAACAATGGATTGAGAAATTTTCAGCTGTCATGAAACTCTTTCATCGCGATTAATTTTTTACACATTCAAAGGTGCGTGGACATAGCTTGTCCCGCTACCTCACTTGCTGACTCGAGTATAGTTATATACATCACAAATACAAGCTTATATTACATTTTCAGCTTTCATGAAACTCTTGCACTTTTTTGGCGCTGGCTCTTGGACTATTATATTAAGGTTCCTAAAGTCAATAGGTTGTCTGGTAATGGGTAACTTGATGACGTCATCTGGTCTGGGGTACCTTATGGAGATTTGGAATTATGTTGAGGCACCCCAGATGACGCCATAAAAATTATCAGGCAACCTACCATCTCTCAAACAACCTTGATGTTTTTTATCTTGGTTCTGATGGTATGGTAAGTTAACAATAATAACAACCTACATCACTCAATTACACTGTATTTCACTTCATAGTGATGTTTATTTCTCTTCTTCACTTCTAGTTTAAAGAAAAAAAACCTGTGTAATTAAACATTGTGATTCACAATAGGTATTAACTTTCATTTGGGTATTTTTTCCTCTAGGTCTCATTGTGTTTGTATGGTAGGGCGTAGGCTGTTGGGGTAGGGCCTTCATCTCAGATCTTCATGTGCACACTGCAGTTGGAGTTCATTAACATGAATATTTTGGCTTGTAGGCCAAGCAACATAGGGTTTGTAGGCGAAATAATTCTCGGAAAGCGGGAAATGGTATTAATCTCTTTATTTGCATGTAAAAAGGGGTTTTTAAAGTTTGCACCAATTTTCCGCTTGTGCTACATACGGGGTGTCCCAAAAACCTCCATTTTTTTGTATTTTTTCAGTTTTTCACTGATTACTCCGAAATGGTGCATATCTATGAAAATTTTACTCTTTTATAAATGGAAGTACGTGAAATTCTACGTCGAATGGACACCACATAGTTATATTTGGGTCAAGTGGTATGGACGCTATTGAGGTTCAAAAAACAGCCATGTTAAAAATAAATCGCCATTGTGATGTAAATGTGTAATTGAGACGTAAAAAAATTGAGTTTAAGTACAAATGGCTTTGATGTAAGTTTAAATATGTAGATAATTCACATAAAAATACATTAAATACATTTAACGTTAATTGAATTTGCTGCGTTTGGAAGTAGAAGCTGACTGAATCAATTGGTCCACTTTAAGGTCTTCGTCATCCGGAAGCTCATCAAGTTCGTCATCATTATCAGATAGCTTCACTTCGTCGTCCATTAAGTTTGTGTCGTCAATAATTTCATCTGGTGTATTGCTGCAGGACGCTCCTCTACAATTATAGCATATTGGAGAACATTTCATTCCTTGTTTCCTACAACCACACGCATTTCGGCACCCCTTTGAACATTTGCAGGCAGTGTTATTAAGCAACTCCTGCGGGGCTTGTTCGGCTGTCGATGGTACTGGGAGCAGCCCATGCTTAGTTATCTTCCATCCCCATTGAACTGGATCCATATCATGACCATTCCACAAATTAACCTGTAGGAAGGCCCTCATTGAGTGCAGTCTAGCAGCTTCTTCAGTTGCAGGAAGAGTAGCCTGGTTGAAGTTATTTTGTACTAAGGATTTGGTGAACAGTTTAAAGCGTATTTCATTCAGAGAGGAAGATCGGAGAAGCGATCCGGCATAAAAGCCGCAATAACTTGTTCGCCCGCAGCACCAATCTCATCTGCAGTCGCATTACTATTTTGGAATATCTCGACAGCTTTTTGTATCTCCGCATCTTTGTCGAGGAGCTTCACAAGCTTCATCTTCCCCTGTCTGAAAATGGCTGATGTTGAATCACAGCCGCTAAAAGCGTGAAGAAATAAAATATTTCCTTTAACTTTGTTCGACATTTTGAAATGTGTCGGGGAATAAAAAACGGTCTCTAACTTTCCTTTCCCAGGCTTCATTAAAAATAACGAATCGCTATTAGGAGCTAACGCAGTAATAATTACCAAAAGATCTATGTCTTCTCCTACCACAACCACACATTCAGAGTGTGTAGCATTTTCCATAGCTCGTCGGACAATGGTTATATCGGCATCCTCTGCAGCTTGTTCGACAGAGATATTTTCCTCTGAAAATTTCTTGATCAGCATTGAGATCATTCGTTTTTTGTTTCCTTCATTCGAAAGAAATTTATCTTTTGATATTGTCAATAACATGGATTCGTCAAACTTAACATTTGCGGCCATGAACTTGTTTCTTCTGAGGCGTTCTGCAGATTTTGTGCTCTTTTCTCCAGGGTCGTCTGGATAGCCATCAAATACAATGATTGATCGTGACCCAAAGTATTTTTTGACATATTCCACGTATTTGTTAAGTATTGACGAGAATCTTTCCCTCAACTCCCACGGTACTCGGTGAAGTAGAAAGCCACCGTCGATCACATAAAGTGCACTTCCGATGTTTGACGGGGTTTCCACTGGATTAAACAAATCATAGAAAACGGATTTACGTGACTTCCTCATCATTCCTTGTTCATCAAATAAAGATGGTGGGTATGGAGCCAATTCATATGTAAAGTAGTTTTTGAGTTCGTATTCGGTTTTTTTATGAAATGAGATTCTCCTGAAAATGGTATATAGGTCAACTGGCACTACTTCGTCATGCAACTTGACACTGCTGGTGAAGCCACGCATTGGTAGCACTCTTTTCTTTCTGGAGAACTTCACTTGACCAAAATTGCTTCCAATAATGCTTTCGAGACTGGAACTTCCGATTTGGTCTGAAAGATGGCAATTTACGTTTTCATCTCCTATAACTCCGGTAGACAGTGACATTACGTACTCTCCTACTGGAAAGGGGTTGTGGCAAAGAAACCAGTCTACGAATTTCTTGCAGTCACTGTTATCTCTAGTAATTCTCGATAACCTTGCATCCACATGTTGTTCAGTAGTGCAGAATGAAACACCACAAAAGCTCTCTACCTGCTGGGATACCTCCATAATTGTAGGCATGGTCGCAACCCATTTAGCCAATGTGCTGTCCGTTATTCCTCTGCCGCGACTCAAACCTCCTGAACTTTTCATAGCTCTCATCAGGCTTTGCTCTATGGTCATATCAGACCATAGACCTGACCAGAATTTATCAGATCTTCTGATAGTGAAAAAGCCGTTTGTCACAAACATTTCATGATCCTTGGGAGTCAGACGGGATTTTAGTTTCAACATATCCTGAAGGTATAAATGACATGATTTCGCGTATAAAAAATGCCCACTGGCGTGAAAGTAGGGTAGCATTTCTCTTATGCTTTGAAGATGCAGGTACCAATCACCGGATCTTTCAGCTTGGACAAATTTCTTGACTATCGTTACCATTTTGAAATACTGCACCCACAGTCTAGCAGTTGCTCCTCTAGACTCCAACTCCTCAAGTTTGTTCGAAAACTTGTCAAGAATATTTTTAACTTCAGGAGCATCAATATCGGCAGATGCACTGTCACTCATTACATGACTCATAAGCTCTAAAAAAGCTAACTGTTCTTTCTCTGCTATATCCTAGGGTTGACAAACTATCGAAAAAAGAGCTATCGATAGTGATATCGATAGAATAGCCTACCCATCGATAGTAACTATCGATTGTACTATCGATAGTTTGCTCTGACCAAAGTAACCAAATTTGTAATTAATTACAATAAACATTAACCTCCAACCTCCATCAAGTCCATCAAAGTCACTCGTCACTCCTCCTAACCGAAAAATTGGCAGCACAGCATGTCTATCCCCAAAAATAATTACAGATTTCTCAAAATAACTACAGATTTCTTTATAATTCCCTCAATACACAGATGTTTTCATTTACCTTTGGCTACAGTGACTCTATAACCCACAGTGGTGACAATTGCTGTCTCATTTTTGATTGGTTCTAAAATCCCATATATTTATATTGAAAACACCGCCATCTTGTTCCCAACCCCTTGTTACTTTTAAATATGAATATATGGGATTTAGGTGAACATCCATCATAAATCATGGAAAACAACGTATTTGATGGACCTAATAATGGTCATCAAATACGTCGATTTCAATTTTTTATGATAAATGTCCATTTAAATCCTATATATTATTATTTAAAAGTAACAAGAGGTTGGGAACAAGATGGCGGCGGGACCTCTATTGTCGCCACTGTATGTAAAGGTTTATTTAGCCACTGTACCTTTGGCTACATTGGAACTATCGATATTGGTACAGGTCTATCGATACTATCGAAAATTAAAAAACTATCGATAGTATCGATATTCCTATCGATAGTTTGTTATCCCTACTATATCCAGCATGGACAATACAATATTACTCATTGCAAGGTGAGCCAAAATGTGTGCCCGTAGAGCTCGTGAGTAAGCGTGTCCTGTCATCATTTTGTTGGTTGATGTAGCTGCGTAAGCCTCGCTAAATAGCTCCTGTAACCCACTGCCATCCATGATAAAACCGATAGCCCCCATGAATGACATGAGTAAATGGAATCCACCGAGCCTGACGATTACTGAACTGATTTCTGAATCAGGACCAAATGAAGAAGCTACAATATCTCTTGCCTTTATATAAAGGGGTTGGTCAAACGTTACGAAACATGAATCCTGTTTAAGTGATTTGCATTTATTTGCAGCATAAAGCAGTGCTGAGTAAACTGTATCATAGCTGGATGGCGGGGCATTGATGAATGGTAGGCACAATATGCCTGATTTTGAATAAGATCGGCCCTTAGTAACTTTTCCATAAACCCATTCGAACCTGGAATGTCCTTACGTCCTTGCCATTTGCCATACGCCCATATAAAATCAGTGGGCAATAGCTTAATCTCGAAACTAGGCAATTTCTCGTCAAGGTCGAGTATGTCAATATCACAAAGGCCTGTCTTAGCTTTCCTTTGAAAAGCAACGATTGGCATTGCTCCGAATTCACCCAAGGTTCCTGCATTAGGGATTTATTTTACTCTCTCCATAATAGTTCCTTCAGATTTTGAAGGCTCAGGTGTAGTGCACTGGATGCCTCCCATTGCGTGAAAAGTATTGGTGCCATCTAATGTGTCAATGTTTACGTCAGCATTGTCAAAGACAAACTGTGTGAGCGATTCTGATGGTACTATATCTTCATTTCGTTGTGTCAAGCATGAAATTTCATAATGTTGCACTTCATTGTATGTGCAACAAAATCCTGTCGCTGAAACAATCTCCAAGAGATCCCTTGAGCCATATTTTCGATGAATAAGCGCCCCTAGGCCAACTTGTAACGCTGATCGATAAGATTTCGGTCGCGTAGCTGCAATAATTGCGTGGGCGATGGATGTAATTTTGGTATTGACTTTGTCATTATCTTGACTCTTATTAGGGGCAATAATAGTTGATCTTAGGAGCAAGTCAAGCGATTCCGGTATGTCGTGTTCAACATTATCTAAAAAACTGTTAGGTGCAGGATAGGAGGTGAAGTTATATATTCTTGAACGAATGTCCTCACGGCAGCTGCTTTTACCACACGGAGTTTCTCTCCCTCTTTGTCAGCCAGTTTTGACTCGTACCATTTCTCAGTCAAGATCGTGTAGCCTGTGTTCTTGAAGCATATTATACTGGGACTGAATCTGTTCTTACCAATTGTAACTATAATGTCGTCTCCATAAACATTCTCGAGCCTTTTTTTCAGAATGTGGGTTGTTGGGATTGGTCCACTATAATCTTTGAGAATATCACTCAGTACAAACTGGCATTGGTCTTCATTTGCTTCAAGGTATCTGCATATGTAATCTACTGCAGCCGTCACTTCTTCATCCTCTGGGCGGCCTCGCTTTGTTCCTGATTGTACATATTCTCCGAAATAATTTTTACAGCATGATCCATGATACCTACCTCCCTTCAGCTGCAATAAGATCAATCTCATTTTCAATTCGAAAAACTACAGCGTTACTCCATTCATCACTTTTCCTGGTTGTTTTAGCTGCATCAATAACCTTTTGCTTAAAATCCAGTTTAGTCACTTCATGAACTTTTTCGCGTCGTGATTGGTTTAATTTTTTTTGACGTTCTATAAATTGATCGGAGGCATCTTTTCCACAAAAGAGACAGTGTCCCTTGAAATCAAACAGCGGTTGATTCGATCTCCTAGAGGCGCTAGGTTTAGAAGACTGCTCAGCTAGTGCAGCATCAATGTAGGACTGCTTATTGTAGATTTTTCTGCATTTTTCATGAACAGTTACAGAGGTTTCATCCTTTAACAAAATGTGTTTCCCATCCTTTCTTTTTTTACTACTATCCATGAAAGTTAGAATACCTTTTTCTTTTACTGTTGTCACCTGAAACAATGACAATTTTATAAAAAAAATAAAAAGTAGCACACTATATTGTTCGAATATATATTTAAATTTGTCCAATATTGCGTATATTTAGACAATATTGGCCAGAATTTGATAATGTGCCATGTGAGATATAAATGAAAGTCAGTGCTATTGTACAAGTGAATCACTCACATGACATAGCAAGAATACCGCATTAATAAATAATGGCCAAGTAGGCACGTCAAAAACTTCGAAGAGAGAAACACAATCAGCAGAGCGAAAATTAATCAGAGTTATTTTTACGCAATTTATAATTATTGTATTAATTGTAAATGTTCTAGGTAACTTTTTGAGTAAAAAAAAGGTATTTCATATTATTGATCTCGATTTGTTGAAGTTTTCATTTGTACCGTGTGGTCTTGAGCAAACACTAGCTTTGTTTGTTTATTTGCACCAGCCAGCACCAAACTAATCTTTCTACTTCAAACGAGTATGTTTATCTCTATATTTTTGTTAGGCTGACAGAGACAGACATTATTTTTCACTGATCAGGTGCAGCTTGGTGTAACTTGGTGCAGATAAACAAACAAAGCTACTAATTTTAAATAATATTCCAGTATTAGGATCGATAAACCGATGTTTTAAAAATAGAAATACAATGTTGAGACAGCTCACCTGTCCTTGTAAACTATCACCACAGATGAAACATTTTGAATCCTCCATCACTTTTCACAAAACGTCACTACAACGCACACTGGGCTAAGAAAATAAGTTAAACTGGAAAATATTCTCCTGGATGAAAAAACGGCGAAAAACAGTTTTTTACCGCAACGTTAAACGGCTACGACTCGGGTCGGGCGATGCTGCTGCTTCGGCGCGGCGTGTATAGATAGCAAGGGAAGGGGAAGAAAGATGCATCTTAAGCCGGGCCCAGACACTTCGCGATTATAGAGAACCGCGAAAATTTTGCGATTTATCTGGCGATGAGAAAAGTCAATTCCGACAATAGATGAATGTACTCTCCCTGACACATCGCAAATATTCAGGAATACCCACCCATATTCGTGATGTGTCTAGGGCCGGCATTACATATTTGTGATACCCACAGTAGGTATTCGGTGCAGTATATACTCCGAACACATAATAATTTCATATAATACTTAACTTATCGGAAACAAGGTTTAAAAGTCCAAAATATGATTATTTCTTCAAAAATTGGAAAAATGTTTGTTTTTCAACATGCATATGGGCCATACCACTTGACTTAATTTTAATATGTTGTACTTATTCGACGTAGAATTTTACGTACTTTAATTTATAAAAGAGTAAAATTTTCATAGAAATGCATAATTTCGGAGTAATCAGTAAAAAACTTAAAGTAATACAAAAAATTTGAGGTTTTCGGGACACCCCGTATGTAGCACAAGCGGAAAATTGGTGCAAACCTTAAAAACCCTTTTTTACATACAAATAAAGAGATTAAAACGATTTCCAGATTTCCGAGAATTATTTCGCCTACACCCTCTTTTTCGGCCTATGTTTCCTGGCCTATTGCCCTGACCTGCTAATATGCGGAAACCCCAAATACAAAATGGGTCCAAAACGTAAACTCTTTTTTTTATCGATAGTTATATCGATAGTTTCTATTCGTTACTATGGATATATCGATAGTTAGATTCTTCGATAGTTTCCCACCTCTAGTTTCTATATTTTGTTATTAAAAAACGGATTTTCAAATGAACTCTCTTCATGCCTAGTATTTTCGCTTTTTTTTATAATTAAACGTGGCAACATCGCACATTTACGTCCGAATTCCTTCCGTAGACTCAGAACCGCTGGGCAAACAAAAATAGGTCTATTCGGTCTTTGGTCTATTCTTTATTCTTCCTTCTCCAAGGCTCAAAGTCTAGTTTGACGTAGGATTTTGCGGATTTTTCGAAAAATCCTTAATTCTTATGGCAGGGTGGACAGGGTGGTGTATAGTTTTTGTTGAATGACTGTCGATTTCATTCCATATTTCTTTGAAACCCGACCTAGCTAAAGGTAATTAAGCCATACTACTAACTAATTAATAGTAATAATTATCATTATTACCATTTATAAAGTGGTCATTAAAGTAAAAATCGTGAGCTACGGCAACGCTGTGCATGCGTCAGTAGTTAAATTTATTTGGGGTGACGCAATCCAGCAACAAGAGCAGCCAATGATAAACTCGAAAGGTAGAAAAGAACGGAAGACGCGGTGAGGCATTTGTATTAGTTCACAAAGAATATTCCCTTCAAAATGTTCAGTTGTCGATTGTCGATGAGTTTAGCAGAAGGCTAGACGTGTGTATGTGCAAAAACTTGTTATTTACGTTGTTTTTGGGCGTTAAAGTGTGTTTTCTAATCAAGGATTGAGGTAATTGTCGTAAATTATTGATTTTATATTTCATTTATAATTAAATTGATTGAAGCATGTAAAAAAGCCGTTAAACGAATGGAAAATCTAGATACTTGTGTGTAAAAAAAACTGTTTTCAAATTGTATCAATGGTACCTAAAAATAATTTATTGTGATTGTATCAAAACAGTATAGTATTTATCTATTTTTACAATTTACTATATTTTATTTTTTCCCAAGATAGATTTTGACATTGAAAACTTTGAAACATAAACAATAACGCTTGACCCTAATTGGTCGCAAATTGAGCTGTTTCTGCAGGTTGACATCAGTTTTTCAATAGCGACCAATAAGCGGCATTAGTGGCATTGTTTATGTTTCAAAATTGACAATGCCAAAATCTAGCTTGGAAAAAAATGAAGTATATACCTGGGGTTAGTTTTTGACTCGACTTTTGCTCTTTAGCCCCATAATTTCTCCCCTATCTGATGTTGATTTTTAACCCTACTCTGTTGAAACTATTATACCTACTTTTAGTACACACACCTCTCCCTCAAGATTTTACTGATTCCCTTTTTTCCATCTGTTGTTTATTTGCATTTCTGAACGTTTCTTAGGATGCTTCTATTTCTATTATTTTGTTGATTTAGCAAGTTTAAAAGATAACTTAAGATAATGAAAACACCACCAATAACTTCATGATTCAAGGAAATGAAGCATGAATCATTGGCATAGGTATTTATTTAAAATTTTATAAGATTCTTTATAAGGAGACCGAGAAGGAGACTAATTTAAGAAGAACCAATTAGGTATAGGTTCACAAGGTTAATAATCATTGCATTTTATTGTCTGAAATAATCTATAGTTTTGTTAAAATAAGAAGTAAGTAGGTATTTATATAAAAAATACGAGAACAAAGTAATTAAAAAATATCTAGAAATCCTCTAAGCCTCTATCTAAGCACTTGTATCGAATCATACTTATTAATCGAGTTATTGATATCATTAGTTACCTATTGCTGGAAATACAGGATGTAAAAAATAGTGTTCCAAACTTACCTAAGCGGGTGACAGAACTGGCCCAATTAAATAAAAAGTTTTCATAAATACCTAGATGCCCTGAAATTCCTCTAAAAAAACTTGAAATCAAGTTTGAAATTTTTTAAAGGTGCATGGTACATAGCTACTTACTTAGGTATTGATGGCAGTCAAAAGGAAAATTTAATTTTTTTTCCAAAAAAAAAAGTTTCAGTTAGTGCTGTTGACTTGGCTGTTGCAATTTAATAATGGAATCGGTAATCGTAACTCTATGCAGTGTAAAGGTACCTACTCTCTTTTGGTTTTTCCTTTGAAATGAGCCATTTTGCATATCTTTTTCAAACACATTTTCCTTCAACCTGCAAAAGTTGTATGTTCGCACTGTATGTAAAAAACGAGTTAGCAGCATACAAATTATTTGAAAATCCTCTTTTAACAGTCTTAACTTTTACACTCGCTTTTACAAAAACCAATTTTTCGCCACACGAGTGTCTTCTTACAATCTAAATTTTATGTGCCTCTAGTTGGAAAAACGAGTAAAGGAACTATTATTTTCTAACCTTTACATGCCCACTCCACTGTATATTTAAATCAAATCAAATTTCAGATTTGAACAAAAGGTGGAGCAAAAGGTGTTATATGAGACATTTTGAATGTGAAAGTTATTCGATCTTTCAAAACAACATTGTAATACTACCTAAATCAAATCAAATATGCTTTATTGTCCAATAAAAACAGTTTGTTCCATAGACAAAGCAGTACTTATAATAAATCTAAATAGTACCTAAATCTTAAGCCTAAGTTAGAAACTAATGAACAGTAAAAAAATAACAAACAACTAAGTAGCCAAAAACAATTAACAATCGGCGCAAAAAGACAATTAAAAACAAACTCAGAACTTGAACAAACTAACAGAAAATTAATAAAATCAACATAAAATTTAAAAAGTTTACATGAGATAGATAGATAGATTCTTTATTCGATCATGTAAAAAGGACAAATACAATTCACAGTATACTGCGTATCACAAGTTTTCTACATTTTTACCTCTAGGGTGTTGATCATGTCATAAATAAATAAGATTATTACATATACTACTACATATAACAATAATAATTTCAAACATACAAACACAAAATATAAAATATAAAAATATAAATAGTCACAAAAATCTTTAAAATTTACATAATACAATAAGGAACACATAAATCAAATATTGCTCTTGCAATTTTCAGTTGTCCTGAGCCCTCGAGTGCCTGCACAGAGAGGACCAAGTGTGCGTCCCCATCTATGCCATTTGTCTGTGTTAGTTTGGTAATGATTGCTTGTGTGTTTTGATATTAAGAAACCCTACTTTACCAAGTTGTCAATTTGTGGATCAGTGAAAAACTCATCCAGACTGTAGTAAGCTTTTGAGTTTAGGAATGTTTTAATTTCTCTTTTGATATTCTGTGGCGGTTGCCTTCGAAATGAAATGGGAATAGCATTCCAGACCCTCAGAATGCTATGCTTAACGTTCTTTGCAATGTATGAGTACTGAGCGGTTTCTGTTTTTAAGTTTTCTTTAATCCTAGTATCATGGGGGTGGTCTGCTTTTAATTGGTCAAAAATATCTGGGTTTTCTGAAACAAATTTTATGCACTCTAAGATGTAGATATTAAAAATTGTTTGCACACTACTCTCAGTAAAAAGATTTTTACAACTTTCCGTACCTTTTCTTTGATAAATTGTCCTTAAGCACCTTTTCTGAAGCTTCAGAATTCTTTGCGACTCCGAGACACTACCCCAAAAAATGACACCATATCTCACCCTTGATTGGATGTAAGCTTGGCAAGCTGTTAGCGCTGCCGAGCAGCCTGCTGAGTCTCTAAGAACCCTTAGGGCGTAACAGTATTTACTCATGCTTGTTGCAAGCTGGTCAATATGTGCACGCCAGTCCAGCCTCTCATCCAGCACCACTCCAAGAAAGGTAACATTTCCCTTTGTAGCAATTGTAGTGTCATTGTAGTCAATCATTATTTCTTCAGGTTTTAGATTGAAGTTTATAATTTGTGTTTTTGCCACATTAAGTTGAAGATTGTTGTTTGTAAACCAATTCTGAAGACCTTCAAGTGATTCCCGGACATTTGTGACACATTCGTTTTTGGTTTTGTTACAACAGAGCACAGAAGTATCATCGGCAAAGAGTACCACCTCATTTTCTAGTACATTTGCAACATCATTTGTATATATTAAGTAAAGCAGTGGGCCCAGTATTGAGCCCTGGGGTACGCCCCTTTTTATGTAGGCAAAGTTTTCAATTCAATTCAATAATGCTTTATTGTCTAAATTTTATAAAAACCATTGACAAAGCGATTCTTAAACTATACACACATTTTAATTTTTATCACAGTTAATAATATTCAAATTAATAATTAAACTAATACCCAATTGATTTTTCAAGTTGAGTAGGTACCTATCTATCACTTCAAGAGATCAAAATATAACGACATAAAATAGACTGAAATGTTAATATCACAAGCACATAGAAGAAAGCAGAAACAACATCATCAAAAACACATCAAAAAAACATAAAAAATAATAATAAATAATAAATTTCTTATAATTTCAGTAAAGTAACTGGGATAAAATACTACAAAAATAGTTAAAATATATAAAAATTCCTACACAAACAAAGAAGAAAAACGAAATAAAAAAATATACATATTTGAAACCTTGTTAACACTTTAAAACAATATAAAAATAAATAAATGCTAAAACAAAAAAACAACTAGGTATTTGGGACCTTTCAGAATTGACAATTTTATTATGTATGAGGGAACAATGATACAAAAGATTGTTATAATAAAAATACTAAATTTTACTGATAAAATTCTTCAAGACTGTAGTATGCCTTTTCAATTAGGAATTCCTTGAGAGATTTACGAAACCCTTGATAATTGTTTTGGCATTTAATTTGGTTCGGCAAATAATTAAATATTTTGATACTTTCGTAAATAATAGAATTTCTTGTTAAGCCAGATTTTGGGATTGGCAAAGGTAAGTTATTGTTTCGCAAATTATGCAAGGAATTTCTTTCAAAACCCTGAAATCTCTTAAACACAAGACACGCTGTTTCCAAAACAAATATGCTTGGTACTGTCAAAATACTTTCTTGTATAAAAAGTGGTTTACAGCTCTGCCTACAGTCAACTTGGCAAATATACCTCACGGCTCTTTTTTGCAAGACAAAAACAGATTGCACATTTCTTAAAGTTGCATAGCCCCAGAATGCGATTCCATATCTGATTTGGGAATCTATCAATGCATAATAGGTGTTTCTTGCCATATGTTTGCCTAGTTCCTGCCGTATGCTTTTTACAATATAGCAAGCTTGCGAAACTTTTTTGTTCATTGTTTGGATATGGTGTTCAAATTTTAAATTAGCATCTATATGAAAACCAAGGAATTTAACGAAGCTCTTGTTCTCCAATACGCTTTCATTAAGTGTTACACTCTCCAAGTTGCACTTAAACGAAAGAATATTTGTTTTTGACACATTGAATACCAACCGGTTACAGTCACACCACTCCTTTACGATACCCAGGTCTTGTTCTATAATGCGCGCTAGAACTGAAGCATCCCTGTGTTTCCACAAAATTGTTGTATCGTCCGCAAAGATGGTAAAAAATCCGGAAATCGCCAAAGAAGCCAGATCATTCACGTAAAGCAGGAAGAGGAGCGGTCCAAGCACAGACCCTTGTGGGACGCCATGCGTTAAATTGGTGAGTTCTGAATTGTTCTTTTGATTCAATCTTACAAATTGGCTTCTCCCAGTTAGGTAAGACCTAAACCACTCCAACTCCCTACCCCTGATTCCATAATGGCTCAATTTCCGCAGCAGTATTCGGTGATCGACACAATCGAACGCCTTAGAAAAGTCACAAAACAGCGCTGCGGCCCTCTCACATCATTCAAACTCAAATGATGGTGAGAGGGCCGCAGCGGTGTTTTGTGACTTTTCTAAAGTTCGATTTTTTTACCTCCCCTAGGCTATTTTCTGTCAAGACACCCTGTTTTCTATGATTTAAATATGACTCGAACAGTCTCAGAGGTGTGTCTCGTACTCCGATCCTCTCAAGCTTTCGACAGAGCAGGCCGTGGTCTACACTGTCGAAAGCTTTTGAGAGGTCCAGACAGACGGCCATGGTGACATTGTTCTTGTTTCGTGATTCCAAAATTCGATTTAGTGCTGTGTAGATAGCTCTTATAGTGGATCTTTTCCTTCGAAAACCATTCTGTTTTTCACTCAACAAGACATTTTCTTCTAAAAAGTTTAATAATCTTATATAAATTGATCTTTCAAAGATTTTTCTAAAGTTGGATAACAAGGAAATTGGTCTGTAGTTTTTTAGATCAGTTAGAGTACCCTTTTTGTGGATTGGTTTTAGCAGTGCAATTTTAAGATTGGCAGGAAAGATGCCATTTTGCATCGATAGATTTATCAGGTATGTTAATGGCTCTGCAAGTGAATTTGCGCAAGCTTTTATAATGCTAACAGGGATCTCATCATATCCGGTAGATTTTTTATTTTTTAGATCTTTTATGATTTTCAAGGTTTCTAGAGCTGTCAAAGGTCGGAGTTCAAGATTCTTTTTACACACAGTGTCAGATTTATCAGCCTGGCTACTACTGCTCTCTGACATCACATCAGGGCATATGTTTACAAAAAAGTTATTCACATCATTCAGGAACTCAGTCTCATTTTCATATTCAAAGTGGTTTAGTTAGTGAGTCTTTTTTTATTGTTTTTGTGGCAGTTATTTTTTTAATTAAGCTCCAGGTTGCCTGCTGTTTGTTTTCAGCATTTTGTATAAAGTTTTTGTTGCTGAGCTTCTTTGCTTGTTTTATTACCTGTTTGAGTATATTTGAGTATTTTTTGTAGTGCTCCACAGTTGTTACCCCAATTCTAACATTTTGAAATAGTCTTCTTTTATTTTTACTAGATATCTTTATACCAGCTGTGATCCAATTGTGTGTTGGTTTGTTTCTTTGCTTCATTTTTTTTACTGGAAAAATTAGATTTACTTTCTGTAGAACTATGTGTTCAAATCGATTAAAGGCCCTGTCCACATCTGGCTCCCGATAGATGCTACCCCAGTCGCAGCGCTGTATTTCCTCACAGAATCTTTCAGTGTTATTTCTAGAAAAAACCCTAACCGCTTTAATTTTTTCTTTATTTTTGTTTATTTCAGAATTATCTAGTGGTAATCTTATTGATTGGGCATAATGATCACTCACAACAGTCTGGATGACCACACTATTTTCATAATCACCAAAGTTTGGAAAAAAATTATCAATGCAAGATGTCTTTTCACTGTTTTTGTCCTTTGGTGGTCTTGTAATGTCAAATATGGTCTGTTCATAGTTATAAGAGTGTATAAGATCCAACAGTTTATTTTTGTCATTATTGTTACTCACTGTCGGTGACAAGTTGATGTTAAAATCTCCTGCCCACAAGACTTTGTAATTCAGGAAGCGCACCCTGACCTCTCTGCTGGAGGTACAAAGTTGTTTATATGCAAATAGTGCAGCCAATTATAACAAATAGCAAAAGTAGATGGTAAAAAAAACATAAAAATAAAAAATTCAAACAGGTAAAACAATGAACATCAAATATGTACAACTGGGTGTAAAACAACATCTACAAATAATCATCGTCAAAAAACTCTGACAGATTATAATAAGCCTTTCTCAGGAGCATCTCTTTAACTTTTGCCCTAAACGATTTTTCCGACTGAATATTTTTAAGATCAGCAGGGAGTTTTGATTCCTAGTTTGATACACTTGACTAGATTGGAAGTTTTTGTATTTTTTGTGCAGAAGAGTAACTGTTTCCAATATAAAAAGACAGGTTAAAGTTAATATATTTTCTTGTAAAAACAGTGGTCTACAGTGGTCTTTTATCTTAGCGCCACAGATATATCGGATGCACCTCTTTTGAATAGTAAAGACTGACCCAAACAGACCCTGACTGCAATTACCCCAAAAGGCTATTCCATAGCGTAGGTGCGACTCAACCAAAGCATAGTAAATAGTTTTAGCCATTTTTCTACTGAGTTCGGAAAATGTTTTTCTTACCGCGAAACTACCGACTGATAGTTTTTTATTCAGGTAAGGAATGTGAGAGGAGAAATTCAGTTTGTTATCAATGAACATTCCCAAAAACTTCGTGTTGTCTTCTTGGTTATTTTTTTTTTTGTTCTGAGAGATTCAAATTATCAAAGGAAAACCTAAATCCAAGGACCTTGGTTTTATCAATATTAAAACACAGCTTATTGGAATCACACCAGCTCTTTATCTTTTGTAAATCTTGCTGTACAATTTCCTTTAGTATTGCCTCGTTTTTGTGAGGCCACAGAATTCTGGTGTCGTCTGCAAAAAGTGTAATAATACCCTTGATGTCGAGCAGACTTGGGTCGTTTATATAGAGAAGGAATAAAATCGGCCCAAGGACGGAGCCCTGTGGTAAACCAGAGTTAAGTTCCGACAGCGAAGATATAGAACTACCGTTTCTGACTTTTTGAAATCACGATGTTAAATAAGAGCGAAAAAAGCGTTGTGAGACTCCTCTAAACCCGTAAACCTCCATTTTCTTTTCGCCCTTTAAAAGCTAGAATTTATTGCTGTTGCCAAAGCGTTTAAGGCCTTAACATCTAAACTTTGAAAAACCTTCGCAGACATAATATCATCTTCACCGGAAGATGGGTATTTTTTATTTCATTTGTCATGCACGTATATGCCTCACTTTGTTGTTCTAGCGTATTGATAGTCGTCAGCATTTGACTCCGTTCCGTCGTCATTTCCCTCATGTCACTTTCCAGAGACATAAGTTTTTGTTGGTATTTATTAAGTTCAACTATTAATTGGGTGTTCTTCACTTCCACCTGCGAAATTTGATCACTTAAGAATTTGTTTCTTTCCTCTAGTTCTTTGACATTATCAAGTCCCCCATCCAAAAGTTTCTGTTCCAAAGACTGAATTTTGCAAACATGCTCGTTGATCTCCTGAGATAAAACTGTTCAGTTTAACTGCTTCTATAAGGTCTTTCTTCATTTGGGTGAGCTCACCCTTCTGTGATGAAATGGTGGACAGGTAGCTTTGCTCTACTTCAAAAACCTCGTCATCAAGAGTCTTCGTATTTCTTTCCAGTCGTTTGATGTGCTGATCTTTGAGTTTATTGTCTCTTGAAAGCCTATCAATTTCTTGTTTAAGGCTTAATTTTAGATCCTCAAGGTCTGTCTCAAGAGTACCGATGTAGTTGTCTTTATGAGCCAGAGTAACTGTAAGTGTTTCCATATTGATATACCAACTGGTCATCACTATCTATGTCTGTCAAACAAGACTTGCAGGAGCTGCAAAGAAATAGAGGATTCTTAATTGCTTATTTAATGCATCAATGTTTGTAGTGGTCATGTTAGCGCAGTCCTTGAATAAAAAACGGTGACATTTGTCGCAACTAGTACCAAATCTTTCACCATCCCTATTGACCATATTAGTTAGGTTAAGAAAAATCGGGCGCGAAATTTAAAATGGGTTCCTAAACACATTTCAACAAATTTGACAGCAATGTATTTCTTATGGCGGATTCAAAAGAGTGATTTTCAGACGGGAATATCTTGGGTTCTGGGCATTTCTTAGTATTGGAACCTATTGTACATCAAACTTTGAACATATTTCTCTATAATTCATGCTCTAATTGTTTTTTTAGACCTATGAATTAAAAATACAAATGATTTTAATTAAAAGTGTCAGTTTTCGGTGGACGTACGTCGAGTCTAAAACCAGCTGAGAGAAAGTGAGGTTGTGTGTTGTGTTATGATTGTTGTTGAATTGTTTATTTATTTATTTATCACTAGTTCAGTCATTTATTTTTCAATTTTTTTCGATTATTGAAGTACATTTACTAACCAAGTATGTAGGTGAACTTTTATTTTATTATAATTAGGTACTCATATATACTTATGAATCAAGCAAGGACATACGTATTTTATACAAACATCGGCTTCTTAAATTGGTAATATTTTTATTTTAACAATGTTTATTCAACTTTCAATCACTCTCTCAGTTAATTAACATATTAAAAAAACTATTTATACAACTCAATTCCGTAACAAACGTTCTATCACGACTACAGACGCTTTTAAAATTGAGTCCCCATAAGACATCAATGTATTAATTTTTGAACTAGGAACCCGCGCCAATTTGCGATTCTAACCTAACTAATATCATCAATTGCTGGGTCGACGCTTGGTGATGCACTCCTTCTCGCAAGCTGAAAATTTGGACGTCATGATCGGAGTTTAAAAGAAAATAAAATAAAATAAAAAATAAAAATGGGACAGATTAGACAGGGTTTCAAGTAAAAATGAATTGCCCCTAATCCGACACTGTATGAATGTTTGATTCTGGTTCAATTTCAATACGAATTAAGTAAACATTCACTTGCACCAAGAACATTTGTTTGTTTATTCAAGGCCGGTTTTTGTGTATTTTCGCAGATAACTGGCCAATATTAAAGCCTAATTTTCCAAACTTCACATAATATTCACGTCGAAAAAAATGTCAAATTCATTGAGAAAATTTGAATAGCACTTGAATTCACGAAAACCCGGAATTTTTCCGATAGTTTTTAACGTAGAAGCAGAGGTTTTAGCGGGAGCTTGAGCTAAACACGTTCTTTCAATACAGAGTCGAATGAAATGAAAAAAAAAAAGATTATTTAATAAACGCTGTGTCTAGAATCCCGGTACCGGTAACACTTTTTTTACCGGTAGTTTTGATGCCGTCACCTATATGACGAACTAGGTACCCGGGATTCAAGCAAATCCCGGTAAAAAATGTAGTCGTTGGCGGTTTTTGTTTTATCAAAGTCCAACTTAACCTAACTTTTCATGTTTTTAACTTGTTTTGTTGATGTGTGAACGTAGAGTGGAGTGTTTTCGTGAGTTTATCAACGTGAAATTACTTTTGAAATGGTTTTTAATGTAGGACAAACATTTAAAAGTTATAAAGAAGTTGAAGAGACTTTGACATGTGAAATGTGCCAGTTTGTGTAACGGCCATTTGCACCCCATAACTCAAGGAATATTTAATCCAAGTGAAGCTTTGAATGTGCCCCTTGTAGAAACAGAAGTCACATTGAAAGCTTCACTTAGATCAAATATCCCTTAAGTGATAGCCGTGCAAATGGCCATAAAATACCCAAAATGTGGTACCTATTGTTCTGATTGTAAACTATAAATAAAAAATGAGAGATATTCATTTTAATTTACATCTTAGACAGTATAGTTACATATATTGCTTGAAGAAAATTAATAAATATCTATTAAATCCGATTATAAACTGCTATATAAAGTGACATCATTTCAAATTCGTTTAAATTCTCAGGGGTTTTCGGGAATAACAACCCTAGTATACTATCATCCGATTGCAGATTACTTCTAATCTGGGATGAGTTGTTCGACATTTCCGAACGCAAATCATTTATATAAGGTATTTCGAACCTAAACTAACTTTTAAAGTTTGAATTGTTTCAAAAAAGTGACGAAAACATTAATAAATTAACCTAAAATACCAATCAGCTGATAAATAACGATAAAAACAAAATCAAAACACCGGGATTTACTTAAATCCCGGTACAAGTGCGTCATATCGATGACGTCATCAGAACTACCGGTAAAAAATGTGTTACCGGTACCGGGATTCTAGACACAGCGTTTAATAAACCCTGATACACAAGGTACAAAAATTAAATTTTTCTTTGAATTAAATAACGCTGTGTCTAGAATCCCGGTACCGGTAACACATTTTTTACTGGTAGTTCTGATGACGTCATCGATATGACGCACTTGTACCGGGATTTAAGTAAAGGTGTTTTAATTTTGTTTTTATCGTTATTTATCAGCTGATTGGTATTTTAAGTTAATTTATTAATGTTTTCGTCACTTTTTTGAAACAATTCAAACTATAAAAGTTAGTTTAGGTTCAAAATACCTTATATAAATGATTTGCGTTCGTAAATGTCGAACAACTTATCCCAGATTAGAAGTAATCTGCAATCGGATGATAGTATACTAGGGTTGTTATTCCCGAAAACCCCTGAGAATTTAAACGAATTTGAAATGATGCACAGCTAACACTTATAAGGGATATTTGATCTAATAAGTGAAGCTTTCAATGTGACTTCTGTTTCTACAAGGGGCACATTCAAAGCTTCACTTGGATTAAATATTCCTTGAGTTATGGGGTGCAAATGGCCGTTACACAAACTGGCACATTTCACATGTCAAAGTTTCTTCAACTTCTTTATAACTTTTAAATGTTTGTCCTACATTAAAAACCATTTCAAAAGTAATTTTACGTTGATAAACTCACGAAAACACTCCACTCTACGTTAACACATCAACAAAACAAGTTAAAAACATGAAAAGTTAGGTTAAGTTGGACTTTGATAAAACAAAAACCGCCAGCGACTACATTTTTTACCGGGATTTGCTTGAATCCCGGGTACCTAGTTCGTCATATAGGTGACGGCATCAAAACTACCGGTAAAAAAAGTGTTACCGGTACCGGGATTCTAGACACAGCGATTAAATAAAATAGATCTTTCACAATAAAACACTAAGTATTTAAATATTGTTCACACATATAAAATAAAAAAATTTCAAAAAAAATAAAAAAATAATAAGCATAAATTTAATGTCTATTGCGAATTGTTAAAATGTACATTTTGATGAGATTTTCCTGGCAGCTGCCTCAAGTTTACTCCTTTTATTTATTCTAAAAATAATTGCTTGTAAAGATTCAGAGACGATTCTTGAATGTGATTCGGTTTTGTTCTACACCTTTTCAACCTAAATTTCGGAAAAAGTGAGTCAAATTTCGGAATCGGTAGATTGCATTTAGGAAAAAGCTCGGGAAAAAAGTCTAATTTAGGAAAAAATAAGTTCAATTTCGGAATTGGGAAATTGAATTTAAGAAAAAGTCGAGAAAAAAGTATAATTTAATTTAGGAAAATAAGTTGAGTTCAATTTCGGAGAAAAAAAATATCAAATCGAGTATCAAATGCCTCACCCTTTGTTTGAGTTTATGGGATGGGGTTTCTTGTTACATTATTCTTGTTTTTTGTTTATTATTTAGGTGAGATAGTTATAACACATTGTTATTTTTTTTTTGTTCTTAATTTTAAAGATGCTATGTTTTTTTAACTGTTTGACATTTTTATTATTCTTATTCTCCTGTTTTTGTTTTTCAAGTTAATACTGACAAAAAATCTGAAATTGTTTAAGTACACTTTTTCCAAATTCGATTATTATTTTTTTTGAATTGAACTTATTTTTCCTAAATTAAATTATGCTTTTCCCTCGGCTTTTCCCTAAATTTAATTTTCCAATTCCGAAAATGAGATGGATTTTTCTAAATTGAAAAAACTTTTCCTACTTAAATATCGAGTTAAATACTTGGTTAAATATAATTTGCCAATTCCGAAATTGAACTTAATATTTTTTCCTAAATCAGATAGACTTTTTCTGAAATCGAACTTCTTTTTTCCGAAATTGAGGTTTGAAAGGTGTAGAATCATCAAATATAAACAGTGCGATAAAAAACTTTGAGAGGAAGTGTACCTAATCTAATTGAGCCGATAACGGAAAATATTTTTCATGTCATAATTTTGAATCCAGAAGAATAGTAAAAAAAGAAGTTGAACCATACTTGGTTCAATTCAACAGAATTGAAAAAAATACAAACTTATATATCCTATTCACAATCCGTAGTTCTAAGGTAAAGGTGAATTTATCACCTTTCCCTATCAATAGCACTGAAAGGTGATTTTTACCTTTAAAACCTTGGGACATCCGATTGTGAATAGATGATATCAATAATTTCAAGTGTACCTACCAGATTATCAAGCAGATTATGTTATGTTTGAAGAGAGTGGGCTATATCAGTCCTTCCACTGCGACCTTTAATTAAATCTATTGTGACTCTTACAGATAATCGGGTCTATTCTGTAACTCAAATCGAATCGACAATCGAAAACTTGAATCGATAACTGTGGACATTTTTCCACAGTAGTTATCGATTCAAGTTTTCGATTGTCGATTCGATTTGAGTTACAAAATAGACCCGAATGTTTAATGTTTCACTCATTAGTTCCAGCTTCTTAATGAAGCTGGCTTTCTTGTAGGTGTAGGGTGGAAAGGAATTCAAATCCACTGGCCGGATTTGATGTTTTTCTAAATACTTTCTGGCTTTTGCAATGACTGGGCAGTTGCAGATAATACATATATTCCGCC